TACCCGAAAGATGGTTGCCCAGCCTCCGCTTGAAAGCGTCCAGCGAAGGAGCCTCCACCACCTCCCAAGGCAGACTGTTCCACTGCTCAACCACTCTTACAGTTAGGAAGTTTCTCCTGATATTTAGCCAGTAACGACTCCCTTGTAATTTCCACCCATTAGACCTAGTCTTGCAATGCAAGAACCTCATGTGGCTCCCGAGCTGCAGTTTGGGCTCCCTTGGTATCATGCCATAGAGTCCATCCTCCAAACCAGCCGTTTTCTCCAGGGGAGGGGATCTGACCGTGGTCATCCGGAGATCAGCTGTCATTCCGGACAATCTCCAGGCCCCCGCCACCTTAAAGCTGACAACCCTATTTGGAAAAGCATCGGGACACCCATTAGACCTAGTCTTGCAACGAAAGAGCCTCATGTGGTTCCCGAGCCGCAGTTTGGGCACCCCTGGTATCATGCCATAGAGTCCATCCTCCAAACCAGCCGTTTTCTCCAGGGGAGGGGAACTGACCGTGGTCGTCCGGAGATCAGCTGTAATTCCAGACAGTCTCCAGGCCCCCGCCACCTGAAAGCTGACAACCCTATTTGGAAAAGTATCAAGGGAAAATGGTGGCCCTCTAGGCACTTGCAAGCCAATAGGTGGGGCTCCTTGAACCACTGAGGAATCCAGTCCACGAGTTTAAAAACTGCTGTGCTAAGTTTTTATTGTTCTAGCTTCAACAGGTTACAGAGTGGGCTCAAACAGCCCGGCAGTTTTGGGTCCATTGCCCGGGTGTGGGAGCGATGCACCCAAAATACTCCTCTTGCTGGATAATGAATACGTTTCAGTCTTGATTTTTCTGCATAAAAACTGCCGGTGAAGTACGTAAAACTCCTTCAGACAGATAACACAGACATGTTGGGTCCTGAGGACCCGAATCCGCGGAATTCGTTCTCCAAGAAGCAGTGAATGTTTGTACGGCTGAGAGCTTGTGTGTTTTCCCCCCTGTCGTAAATCACGAGAACCTACTACCCGTTTACTATCTCTGCGTGGGTAAAATACTCCTCTTGCTGGATAATGAATACTTGTCTTGATTTTTCTGCATAAAAACTGCCGGTGAAGTACGTAAAACTCCTTCAGATAGATAACACAGACATGTTGGGTCCTGAGGACCAGAATCCGAGGAATCCGTTCTCCAAGAAGCAGTGAATATTTGTACGGCTGAGAGCTTGTAGAACCTACTACCCCGATTACTATCTCTGCCTGGGAGGGAGGAGGAGAAGCAGTCACTGTTTACTGAAATACACTGGGGGAAATTTACATTGACGATTTCTTGGTTGCTTAACATTGAAGCCAGGACTGAAAGAGTATCCCAAAGCAAGAACGAAATCCAAGCAGTACCTTTTATTACAACCAACCAAATGGACCCTGTGCAAGATTTCAAACTCACCAGAGCTCTTCATTAGGCTGACGGAGGACTCTGGTGAACTTGAAGTCTGTACAGTGTATTATGCCCATTTGTCAAACTCACCAGAGCTCTTCATTAGGCTGACGAAGGACTCTGGTGAACTTCAAAGTCTGTACAGTGTATTTGTGCCCATTTGCTTGTTTTTTGCCATCAAGCCACAGCTGACTAATGGCGACCTCGTAGGGTTTTCAGGAGAAGAGATGTTCAGAGGTGGTTTGCCATTGCCCGCCTCTGCATCAAAACCCTGGTATTGCTTGGTAGTGGGAGGTCTTCTAGTGTCCTGGCCCCACCGGTGGACCTCCTGATGGCACCTGGTATTTTTGGCCACTGTGTGACAGAGTGTTGGACTGGATGGGCCAGTGGCCTGATCCAACCTTGGCTTCTCTTATGTTCTTATCCAAATACTAGCCAGGGCCGACTGTGCTTAGCTTCCAAGATAAGATGAGATCGGGCAAGCCTGGGCTATCCAGGTCAGGGCACTGTGTCTGTTGCCTTAATAAAAAACACAGTACGCAGATTTCGTTCTTGGCTTTTGGATTTTGCACGGACCAATATAGCTCTAAGTTTTCTGAAATAGCTCCTGCCAACCTAGCCCAAGGTCACCCCAGCAAGCTCCCTTGGTGGAGTGGGGATTCGGTACCCCGGATACTGGAGCTGCGGTGGCTCAAGTGGTTAAGATGCTGAACTGCAGGCTGTGGAAGGTCGGTAGTTCAGCAGTTCGAGACCCGGGTTGCTGCATGACGGAGTGAGCTCCCGTCTCTAGTTCCAGCTCCTGCCAACCTAGCAGTTCGAAAGCAAGACATTGCAAGTAGATAAATAGGTACCACTTCGGTGGGAAGGTAACAGCATTCCGTGCGCCTTGGTGTTGAGTCATGCCGGCCACATGACCACGGAAACGTCTTCGGACAGCGCTGGCTCTTCGGCTTGGAAATGGAGATGAGCACCGCAACCCTAGAGTCGGACTCGACTGGCTTTCGAGCAAGGGAGACCTTTACCTTACCCTTACCTTTCTGAAATAATGCCCAGCCAGTTGATGAATGCTTGGGTTGGTCTCCTGCAAAGAAGCCATATGGCACACCTAGCTGCCCGACCTTCTGTTTTAGAGTTGAGCTCTCCGACATCCTGCTCACACCTGCAGAGCAATTCCCCAGGTTGTGAAGGTATGCCCAATATTGATTCAGTTTATGAACTGGTTTAACTGGCAGTATAAGGAAACGTGGTGCGTGCGCTTGGTCATCTGTGTGTCGCCTGTCAATACTGCTTTATCTTTTGTCCAAAACAAATCGGCGTGAGCCTCTGCGAGAGAGGCCTGCCATTGCACGTAAACGCTGCGCCTCTGCCGCGTTGACTGCAAGCTGCTGTGGCAGTCACGGGTATCGTCCACGACCGCCGTTCCATCCCCTGCGAAAGGCAGGCCTTTTCTCTGAGGCCGAATGGGATTTCAAGGAGCCACCGCAAGGCTGATGCAGCCGGGCAAAGCAAAAACGGCCGCAAATTCATCGCCATCTGCCCCCGGGCTTTCAGTAGGCTGCCGGATGGAAAATCGGCACCAGATCTGATCTGAATCCCTCCAGTGTACATGAGATGATTGACCTGACAGTAAACTTTCCCTTCTGTAGAGGTAACATTTTGGAAATCCTAATTTGCAGGTGTGCCAGGAAGATGGGCGAAATGCATTTGCAGAAAGAGTAAGCAGCGTCAGGTGTGTTTAGGATTGCACTACGAACCAAAAAGGGCTAAGCTAAACCATATATATAAAAGTACAAATATTTATTAAGGTGTACACATGTTAAAGGAGCTGTGGTGGCTCAAGTGGTTAAGACGCTGAACTGCAGGCTGTGGAAGGTCGGTAGTTCAGCGGTTCGAGACCCGAGTGTGCCGCATGACGGAGTGAGCTCCCGTCTCTAGTTCCAGCTCCTGCCAACCTAGCAGTTCGAAAGCAAGAAATTGCAAGTAGATAAATAGGGACCACTTCGGTGGGAAGGTAACAGCGTTCCGTGCGCCTTGGTGTTTAGTCATGCTGGCCACATGACCACAGAAACGTCTTCGGACAGCGCTGGCTCTTCGGCTTTGAAACGGAGACGAGCACCGCAACCCTAGAGTCGGATTCGAATAAGGAAATATCTTTCCTGCAAATACAGGAATATCTGTTGGACGCTGCCTTTTATATAAATGTAAGGAAACTTGGAAATAATAAGTGTAAGCATTTGTAAAATGCTTTCAACAGTCAAAGCGGTTCACGTACCATAATCCGTACCACAGCGCAGTGAGGCGGCCGAAATATTCTTATCCCTGGATTGGAGTCCAGTAGCACCTTAAGAAATCCGGATTCGAGTCCAGTAGCACCTTAAGAGATCGAGGAGAGTCAAAGCTCCCTTGGCCAGATACTCGGTAATAAGGAAATATCTTTCCTGCAAATACAGGAATATCTGTTGGACGCTGCCTTTTATATAAATGTAAGGAAACTTGGAAATAATAAGTGTAAGCATTTGTAAAATGCTTTCAACAGTCAAAGCGGTTCACGTACCATAATCCGTACCACAGCGCAGTGAGGCGGCCGAAATATTCTTATCCCTGGATTGGAGTCCAGTAGCACCTTAAGAAATCCGGATTCGAGTCCAGTAGCACCTTAAGAGATCGAGGAGAGTCAAAGCTCCCTTGGCCAGATACTCGGTAATAAGGAAATATCTTTCCTGCAAATACAGGAATATCTGTTGGACGCTGCCTTTTATATAAATGTAAGGAAACTTGGAAATAATAAGTGTAAGCATTTGTAAAATGCTTTCAACAGTCAAAGCGGTTCACGTACCATAATCCGTACCACAGCGCAGTGAGGCGGCCGAAATATTCTTATCCCTGGATTGGAGTCCAGTAGCACCTTAAGAAATCCGGATTCGAGTCCAGTAGCACCTTAAGAGATCGAGGAGAGTCAAAGCTCCCTTGGCCAGATACTCGGTAATAAGGAAATATCTTTCCTGCAAATACAGGAATATCTGTTGGACGCTGCCTTTTATATAAATGTAAGGAAACTTGGAAATAATAAGTGTAAGCATTTGTAAAATGCTTTCAACAGTCAAAGCGGTTCACGTACCATAATCCGTACCACAGCGCAGTGAGGCGGCCGAAATATTCTTATCCCTGGATTGGAGTCCAGTAGCACCTTAAGAAATCCGGATTCGAGTCCAGTAGCACCTTAAGAGATCGAGGAGAGTCAAAGCTCCCTTGGCCAGATACTCGGTAATAAGGAAATATCTTTCCTGCAAATACAGGAATATCTGTTGGACGCTGCCTTTTATATAAATGTAAGGAAACTTGGAAATAATAAGTGTAAGCATTTGTAAAATGCTTTCAACAGTCAAAGCGGTTCACGTACCATGTGAGGCGGCCGAAATATTCTTATCCCTGTGAATGGAGAAGAGAAGAAGAGATTGGATTTATACCCCACCCTTCACTTGGAGTCTCAGAGCGGCTTACAAACTCCTTTCCCTTCCCCTCCCCACAACAGACACCCTGTGAGGTGGGTGGGGCTGAGAGAGCTCTGACAGAAACGGCTCTTTTTCAAGGACAGCTGTGCCAGAGCTTGTGACTGACCCAAGGTCACATCGGCAGGTACAAGTGGAGGAGTGGGGAATCAAACCTGGTTCTCCCAGATTAGAGTCCGCACACTTAACCACCACACCAAATTGGAGGCCGGAGGCTGAGAGACAGAGTGGCGTGCCCAAGGCCCACGCCCATAGCTACAGTGGGGCCACCTGGGGCCTGGCCCCCCGACTTCCTACCAAGGCTCCCTGACTCTTTGGGCTCTGACAGGACCATCCTGAACAGAGTTACACCCTCCCAAGCCCATTGACATCGTTGCACTGAGAGTCGGCACTTGGCAGGGGTGACGCGGGAACCGTTGACATCACTGCTCGTGCCCTTAATTACAATGCAACGCCAGCTACTGGGGCCTCAATGGCCAGCGTATTACTGCTGTGACATTTCCTCTTGCATCTGACGGGGCTCCCCTTTCCCTGGCAGGTTCTTACAGCGCCAGCCAAGGCGTCAACTGTATCAGAGAGGATGTTGCGGCTTACATCGAACGACGCGACGGAGGGGTGCCTGCCGATCCAGATAACATATACCTGACGACGGGAGCCAGTGACGGCATTGTGGTAGGTTTGCCCCTTCTTTCTGATGTGCGGTTGCAGACAGCAAGGGGTCGCCGTGCATCTGGGATTCCGAGCTGCGTATATTCGGCGGTTTCAAAAATCCTGTGCTCCAAATGGGTGGAGTAGAGTTAACACATGTGCACAAACGTATTTAATTTGCAGAAAAGATTGAGATGCGTTAGTCTGTCTGCAGCAGCGGAAAAGAGCCGGAGTCCGGTAGCACCTTAAAGACTAACAAATTTCGTGGCAGGGGAGGAGCTTTCGTGAGTCACGGCTCACCGCTTCAGGTTTGCAGGAGTTCTTCAGACAGCACAGTTTGAAAGTTTGTTTGAAGCAGGGGTCATTTCGTAGGAAAAGAGGTGCAGGAGCATATTAGCATAACTTATTTGCATATGCCACACCCCCTGACATCACTGGAAATGTGTCAGAAGGCAACATCCACCTCTCAGGTGCCAATGGACTGTTTTGGATTGCTAGCT